CATGCACACGGATTCAGGCAACAAGGGCCGCCCTCATCCAAACTGGAAAAGCGGGAGACTTTGCTAAAGCAGAGCAATGAAGATGAAGGATGGAGGAACCGGGCAGAATGAAGAGAACCACATGGAGGCATGGAAAGACAAACCAGGCAGGCATGAAAAAGGCTTCCCCAATGTCACCTCCCCCCAATGCCCCAGAGTCACCCACCACCACGTGCCCCTACAGTTCACCGGCTCCCCACCCCCCCCCCCCCACCCCACCCCCCTTTTGGACACCAAAAGGTGTCCACACCAGTCACCCCCTCCCTAAAAAAGACTGTGTGTTCCTTGGACAGAAACATTCTCATACAGGCAGAACTCCTGGCATGTTCAGAGGTTAAGCTGAACTGTATCACACTGAAAACACTGAGCTCTTTAATGCACTATTCATGAAATACATTACTCCCATTTTAAAACATTCTTGAAAATGTCCATGTCCATAGTATATATGGAAATTTTTACCTAATGCTAAGGATTGTCTTAAATTAAAAAGTGTCATCCTTCCATTTGGAGTAAAGCCTAGTCTTCCATTTCACTTACTCCAAAAGGAAAGGCTATCGAGGGCTGGTGTGGTGTAGAGGTCAAAGCATCAGACTAGGACCTACGAGGACCAGATTCGAATCCCTTGCTGCCCCCATGGAAGCCCCCCAGATAAACTTCGGTTGGTCACAACCAGTGTTCCCTCTAAGCTGAGTTAGTGTGAGCTAGCTCACGGTTTTTTAGCCTCCAGCTCACACATTTTTGTCTTAGCTCAGGAAGGATGGCTCCAGAGTAAATGTATGTATGCAGTAGCCAAATTGTTCGCTCACAACTTTAGTGCCAGTAGCTCACAAAGTGGAATTTTTGCTCACAAGACTCCACAGCTTAGAGGGAACATTGGTCACAACCTCTCAGCCTGGCCTCCCTCACAAGGTTGTTGTGAGGATTACGTGCAGGAGGGGGGGACGATGCGAAAAGCCATTCTGAGCCCCCCATCAAGGAGAAAAGTGGAATATAGATTTTTTAAAAGCAAAACAATAAATATCATCGGAGTCTCTTCAGTGTTCCCCCAAATCTCTCCGTTTTCCCAATGAAAAAATCGAGACAGTTCTGGTTCCCCCCCCCACACACACACACACTATACAATGAATGAATGAAGGAAATGCTTTTAAAGACAAGCCTCCAAGAACACTTATTTTAAAAATCTACAGTGAGGTGCCATCAGCAAACTGGTAACTACCACCACCACCACCACTCAGTCTTTGGTCAATTTCACCCAGTGGTGTCACATAAATATTGGAAAGTGGGGTGACAGCAACCGATCCTGCAGAACACCACAGGTCACATGCGAGAGCTAACAACAACCCTCCGAAGACAGCCCATTGAAGACTTAAACCGCTCAAGCGCTGCCCCTTTAAGGCCCACCTCCAAAGAACTGAACAGCACCAGCTGACCAATGGTCCCAAAGGCCACGCAAGCCAAAGAGGACACGTTCCCTTTCTATCCAACTGCATGGGGAGGCTGTCCAGAGCCAGGCACAGCGCCTGCCTGAAGAGGATCAGAGGGAGATCTTTCACCCAGGAAACTGTGGGGCTGCTGGTGCAGCCGCTACCCTCTCCCTGCCAGGAAGGCATTAATGGGCTTCATCAAGGGGACGCTCACCCTATCCCTGCAAGATTTTAAAAGCTGGGGAAAGCCTGACGCCCAGGCCCTCCGTCAACAGCGGTCAGAGGTCACACGCTGAAACTATCCACCAGAGGAACAAAGACCAGGCAGTGCTCTGAACACTCGGACTACTTGGCCACCCCCCCAAACTGGCATCTTAAACTGGAGCAGAAAAATCACCAGATTAAAAAAAACTCTACTGCCGGCAGCCAAGTAACTTTGGAACTCCAGGCTTACTAGAGTCAGTTGTCAAATTACCCTGAACAAGCAGGCTGGGTGGGATTCGGTGGGCAGGGTAGCTGGGAAGCACAATTTTGTGACACCTGTCGCCGCCCCCACCTCCTTGACCCTTGTTGCGCCTCCCCCCCATGAGACTCATATCTTTTTGCACCCCAAGGTGCTCTGGCCGTCTGAAATCCATTCCTGTTGGTATCAAGGCAGGGTCTCTAGCTTAAGGCACACATGTTGCCAGGCGCTTTCAAGAGAAAACAGGCCGAGTACCTGAGAATTCCAGAGGCCCGTTGATCAAGGACCTTCATGTTTGACCCGCCAGAGCTCCTCACGTCCAGACCCGTGACCCAGGTTGACAGAACCACCCCCAGAGCCTCCTCCACGTCCCCCTGGTGATTCAATCATCAACTCCATCCTGGACCACTGCCAGCAGCTCTGAGTCACATCTGCCAGCCCTGCTAATTCAATCACTTGCAGCCGGGCACATCTCCGGCCACCATTTACACCACCCGGGTCATCTTCCCTGGTTCCCCTGACAACAGGAAGCTTCAACTGCCCTGCAACTGCTGGGGGGGGGGGGGGCCTCGGGCCCTAAAGCCGCACCAATCACAGTTTGAAGTCAAATTCCACCAACGGGCAGCTGGATCCTGTCCTTTTGGCCCAGCAGCACTGCAGATCTGGTCGTGCACCCAGTTCCGCTGATAGCAGCATTTCTCCGATTTGCATCCAGGTAAATCCAGGTGCGTAAGACACCCCCCCCCCCAACAAGCCCTCCATTTTCGTAGCTGGCTTCTGTTCCTGAGCCACCTTCTACTGGTGAAACCACAGGATCTCCACCCTGGGCCGGCTCTCTCACTTTCTCCCCCTCCTGCTTCCCTCCCCAACTTTAACCATCCTGTCTTCTCACGCACTCCCCACCTCTTAGCTTCCCTTCTCAGTCGCTCTCTGCCCCACCATCGGCTGGCCTCCCGCACAGCACCCTCCCCTTCTTCTTCTTCTTCTTCCAAAAATCCGTTCCCGCTTATTCCTCTTGGACCCTTTCTGGGCACCCCACTGGTTTTCTCTGGACTAGCCACGTGGGAGACACAAAGTTTGGACTAAAAGTGACTTTTAAGTGGGTATTCGGATTTGAGGAACACAATCGAGCACCAGGATTTTTAAATGTACATTCTTTACAGTCCGCCTTCCCTCCCAGGGACTCAAGGCAGATTATGCAGAGGGAGTCAAGACAATCTAACAAGGTGGGACATTCAACAAACACTGAAACAGGATTTGGGTTACGGAACCAAGCAGAAGCCTCAGCAACAGAACCGACGCAAAGCAGAAGTGTTAACAGGACACATTGAACGGCGCAAAATTGCACAGGGAGGATCCAGCCCACGGCAAACTAGACAGAGCCGTACAGACCACAGTCTCCAGTAATTTATCCAAGTGACTCTGTGAAGCCTTTTGCACAGGGCTGCTACCCCCGACTGCCTGCATAGAAAAACCCTCTTGAATAATTCCGTTTTGCATCGTTTGTGGGAAGCCGGGTGAGTGGGAGCCTTCCTGGCCTCCTCCGGCAGGCCATTCCACGAGGCGGGGGGGGGGCACCACAGAGAAGGCACGTCTATGGACAATTGTTGACCCATTTGTGGGTTGGCACCTGCAGAAGACCCTGCCAGGATGAGCGGCGCCGTCGTGGCAGAGCATAAGGGGAGAGAGAGGGACTCGCACATCTGAGGGTCATGAAGGGCTTTGCGTGTCATGCTTCTCACTGGAGTGCCACATGACACTGGGCTGCCATATCGCTGCCTCGGAACAGTCCGGCCTCCCTGCCCGGCACTTCCACTGTCCTGCGGTCATCCCCCCCCCCCCCCCCGCATTCTGTACTTTGGACAGGGGGACGGGCTAGGTGCCTGCCTCCCCTCCGTGGGAGACTTACTGCACCAGGATGGAGGTCGTGTACCCAACAGGCTCAAATGACCCCTTCTTCCGAGGCCCCGACCTTTCTGAGCCGAGGGGCACCTTTGGGATTCTGACACAGAAGGGTGGGCGTGGCCGTAAAATGGCTGCCACAGGAGGAGACGCCCACCACGCACGGGCAGGGGCTGAGCGGATGCAGAACTCTTCAACCTTTTAGGGCAGGAGGCCTTTTAAAATGAAGGTATCGTTTAAAAACACTGCCTTGCATGCATGCAGCTTACCTTCCGTCATGCGGTGAGGCCGCAGCTGCTGCTGAACCAACGTTTTTAAATAAATAAATAAATAAAAGAATCTGCCCAGCCAATCAGATCTCCGAGGGCCAATCGAAAGCCCTGCTGGGCGAAGCCCGACATGGCCCCTCCCCCTTCCTCAAAAAACTTGGCAGGCACCAGGAAAGGAGTCGGCGAGTGCCATGGTGTCCGCTCTTCACGTGTGGTGGGGGG